TCTGGTTAGCAGTCAAGTGCCTTAGCCACTATGCTACCAGAGCTCCCTAGCCACTAGGATGGCGATGATTAAAAAAAATACAAATGGAGTAACAAGCGTTGGTGAGAATGTGAAGTAACTGGGTTGCTAGTGGGATGTGAAATGGTACAGCCACCGTGGAAGGAAGTTTGGTGACTCCTCAAAAGGTGACACAAAATTACCTTATGACCGAACAATTCCACCACCAGGTGTGCACTCAGAAGCGTTGAAATCAGTGACTCAGATGGACGTGTGCACTTCACTGCGGGATTTTTCACAGCAGCCGAAAGGTGTAAGCCACCCAAGTGTCCATCAGCAGATAAGTGGGTAGACAAAATGGACACGATGGAATATTTTTCAGACATAAAGAGAAGTGAAATTCTGATACAGGCCACCACGTAAATGGTCCGTGAAAACATTGTGCTGAGTGTAATAAGTCAGGCACAAAAGAATAAATGGTGTGCGGTCCCACTTATTGCAGTATCTAGCCTAGGCAAATCTACTGAGACGGAGCAAGATCAGTGGAAAGGGGACTGGGAAAACAGGAAAACAACGTCAGTCTTCCCAACCTCACATCCTCCTCCACCCCTTACAGCCCTGCCTCCTTAGTGAGCCCTGTTTTCATCCCACGGACTCCATTAGCTCCCTCTCCTTTTCTTTTGCTTCAAGAAAGCTGCTCTCCCTAAGCTAACGTCTGACCTGTCTGTCACAAACCCTGTGGAAGCTCTGGCCCTCCTCCTGAAGAACGAGCTGTCTTCTCTGGTGGCTGTGGTGCCACGGTGCCAGGACTTCCTTTCCTTGCCCTTTGCAGTCTTTTGCTTAGGGAAGATCCTCTGAGCCCCCATGAGGCCCTCTTCTCTTCTCTGCCTTTGCTCTTTCCTGGCGACCTCACACATAGTCTTGACTTGGATTCCCTCACCATGCTGACGATGCTGAGATTTTTCTTTCAAGCCCAGTCTTCTCCGGGGGGCGCCAGACTCAAGTACTGAAGTACCTGCTGGTCATTTCCAAACTGAACTCAGCATCTTCCTCCTCAAACTTGCTTTCCCCGTGGCTTCCTGTCTGCACAGATGATGTCTCCATCTTCACACATGTAGAGCTTATCCCCAGTTTTCTCTTCTCCTCACACTTAAGCCCAGTAAATCAAAGATCTTGAAGTTCTAATCATGAATGTCTCTTTAACTCATCAAGTTACTTCATCTTTGCTTTCCTAAACACGTTTTAGGCAGTAAAATCTCTTGCCTGGACCTGAGTCCCAGCTTGAATGCAGGGCAGGATGCTAACTGCTCCCTTTAGCCCTCACTGCCCCTGTCCAGGAGGTCTGGTTGGAGTTGGCCTAGGACACAAACCAGGGGATGTGGGTGTCCGAGAAGGGCATGGCTCTTAGGTGGGGGCACCCAGGGCCTGGGCCAGCTTCTGTGCCACCCTGCGCAGTGCCTCCTTCACCTCCTTATTCCTCAGGCAGTAGATGATGGGGTTGACGAAGGGCGTGAGCACCGTGTAGACCACAGACACCAGCTTGTTGTAGTCGAAGGAGTAGATGGCACGCGGGCGGGCATAGATGAAGAGGGATGCGGAGTAGAAGATGACTACCACGGCCAGGTGGGAGGCGCAGGTGGAGAAAGCCTTCTGGCGGCCAGTGGAAGATGGGATGTGCAGCACGGCACTGAGGATGGCGGCGTAGGAGGACACGGTGACCAGCAGCGGCCCCAGCAGGATGAGCAGGGCCAGCAGGAAGTCCGCGAGCTCTGCCACAGACATATCTGAGCAGGCGAGGTTGAGCAGGGGGGACACATCACAGAAGAAATGGTTCATGATGTTGGGGCCGCAAAAGCCAAGGCGGGAGATGAAGAAGACCTTTCCCAGGGAGATGCTGAAGCCCGAGAGCCAGGACCCCGTGGCCATCAGGCTGCAGAGTGCGGGGCACATGATGGTGGGGTAACGCAGGGGGTTGCAGATGGCCACGTAGCGGTCATAGGCCATTACGCCCAGCAGCACACACTCGGTGCAGGCCAGGGCCAGGAAGAAGTACAGCTGGGCCATGCAGCCAGCAAAGGAGATGTGCTGGAACTTGGTGGCCACGAGGCCAAGCAGCATCTTGGGCACGGTGACGGAGATGTACCAGGCCTCCAGGAAGGCCAGGTGGCTGAGGAACAGGTACATGGGCTTCTGCAGCAGGGGGCTGGTGCGGATCACAGCTACGATGACCACGTTCTCTGTGACGGTCAGTGTGTACGCCAGCAGGAACAGTGCCAGCAGGCCCAGACGGAGCGCCCGGGAGCCCGAGAAGCCCAGCAGGATGAACTCAGTCACCTCCGAGCCGTTATTCCTTGAAGACGTGGCCTCGCCTGGGGGGCAAGGTGGCAGGTCAGGGCAGGAGGGAGGGCAGGCAGTAGGGGGAAGCCCAGGTATGCGGGGGCTTGGCTAAGTGAGTTCTGCCCTCAGACCCACAGCCAGCCTGGTGCAGGGACATTGAACAAATGCGGCTGTGGCTGGAGGAGAGTGTCCCAGGGCCCTGCTGCAGGAAGCCGCTGCAGTTCTGAGGACGAGAGCAGAGCCCCAGGAGCCATCGGCCCCACCCCCAGGCCAGCAGTCCCCACTGGCGCTTTCACAGCCACTTCCAGGGTGGGGAAGACCTCAGCTGAGGTCACTGGGTCCAGGGACAGTGGGGGACGTGGGCCAACAGGGCCAGGGTGAGGAGACCTGCAGGGGGAGACAGTGGATAAGCCCTGGCCCGGGGACTGGCTGAGAAGACCCATCTGGCTGGGCTGCCATCTTCATGAGTGTTTTGGGGGTTTGCCCAGCCGTGCTGGGACTTGGTTCCTTCATCTGTACCTGAGGGGAGGGTGGCAACCCTGCAGAATCTGCCCCAGGACTAAATCAACCCTGCAAAGGGTGACCGTGCTTCCTAAAGAGAATTCAGGCTCCCAGGAAGCAGCTTACCCATGTCCTCAGAGCCAGGCCTCCAGCTGCTGGCCAATGTCCATCTGTGCCGTATGTCTGACCACTGCAAGCCGGCCGAGCTGAGCCCAGCCCCTCGGCTGCTGCCTGGGGTGGGCAGGGCTTGGGAGGAAGGCAGGGGTGGCGGGCAGCCTCCTCACCACCTACATCACCCACCAGTCGTTTTTGTGATAGAAAGAGCCGCGCCATTACACAGGAGTAGAGTGACCAGCTGCTCATCCCTCCACAGACACGGCGGCCTGCACTGTCTTCCAGCTGTGCCTTTGCCGCTTGAATGCTCTGAGTCCAGGCCGGGCATCCCAGGCCCCTTGGCCCTTGACCCTCAGAACACGGCCAGCGTCCTTTACCCCTGGCCTGCACTGCTCAGCTCCCACATCATTTTAGAGGGAATGTGTTCACTGTGCTGGGGCGGGGGGGGGGGGTCAGCCACTGGCTGTCATCTGTGCTGCAGTGTCTGGAGGGCAGGGCCCCCTAGGTCCCCGTGAGGTGAAGACACAACACGGTGATAGCCCAGGGTGACCCAGAGCACCGCTGTGTGTGCGTGGGAGGGTCGTCTGCAGGGCACTCTGGTCTCAGTCCAGGCCCCGGTCCCCAGCTCTTGGGCAGCCGGAGACCCCTCTGGGCCTCTGCGCCTTTCGGTACGTCCCACTCTTCCCTTGGCTTGGTGTTCACATCACAGCTTCCCCACCCACCCCGGGCCCCAGGGCGGCTCCTCCGCTGTCCTGCTCTTCCTGCTGCTGTTCGGTGCTCTGCCTGCTGGCATCAAGGTTTATGTCCCACAAAGATTATGGAGGGGGAGGACGGGGCATGTGGGGCAGAGCCTAGACTAGTGCATGTCCTGCCCTTGATGCTGTGTGACCTTGGAAGGCCTGCTCTATACCTCAAGTCCCTCAGCTGTGACACAGGCCATGACTATGAGGACAGCCAGGACACAGTCTCCACTGGGGGCATGACGTGTGGGGGCTGCCAGGAATGAGGGGGAGAGGGGGAGCCGCATACCTGCTATGGCACCGGGTGGGCCACAGAGACCAAGGGAGGGGTCCACACTGCACAGTCCTCTGTGGGGAGCCGGGTGGCCCATTGATGTCAGTGTCCTGCAGTGGGAGGGGTCAGCTCAGGAGTCGTGGGGACAGCTGCCCTGAAGCTGGAGCCTGGGCACTGTGCTGGCTCCTGATGTCACTGTGCCCCAGCCATGGAACAGGGGTTCCAGGTGAGTGTGAGGCAGGAGGGGGCCCCAGATCCCCTGGCCTCCTGCCACATATGTCCCCCTCACCATGCACACACTCCTCAAAACTCAACTCTTCCACAGACCCCTCAGCCCCCAGCATTGGAAGCACACTCACTCCCAAACGTGGACCCAAACAAGCCCAGAGTCCGTGTTCAGGTCATAGGCTCTGCAGGGACACACAGACCCGTGTGTGTTCCCAGCAGACCTGGCGTGGGCACACAGGGGCTAGTATAGACAGTGCTGACCTGCCCTCAGACACATGCACAGACCTGCCAGCCCCACAGCCCTGGCTGCTTTACAGACAAACATGCCTGCCCACAAGACAGGACCAAGCTAGGTGTGCTCCTGCTAGGCAGGGACAAACCCCAAGCCAGACCCACATGTGCCTCTCAACACAGACACCAATGGAAGACGCCACCATGTCCTGTCAGAGAGCCTTGCTGCCCCATGTAGTTCTGTGGACAGGTGAACACACAGGTGGGCCCAGAGACACACACAGGTTCACACACACAAGGCGCACAGGGCATACACGGGTACCCACACAGCCACACTTAGGTGCATCTAGGCACTCATAGGCTCACACACAGGTATGCTCAGGTACTGCCCCAGGTGTACCCACAGGTGCACACACAGGGCACACAGCCACACATAGGTGCACACAGCCCCACACAGGCTATCACAAAAGCACACTTAGGTGCATCAAAGGGCACACAGGCTCACACAAGATGTGCTCTGGTGCATAGACAGGTGTACCCACAGGCACACACATACCCAGGTGCACGTGCCCCTCAGTTCTCACCTGTGCAGACTGACTGTGATTTTGCAGGTGATGGAGCTAGGTTCCAGTCCCAACCTGTCTGCACTGCTCTGACCCACCAGCCCATCTCCTCACCTGTAAATGTGAACAGGAGTGTGACTGGGGGTCTCCCAGCTCCTGAGGACTGAAGGCCTGGTGTGGCAATGTGCACTTGGGAACAATTGCCAAACTGGCCTTGAGCTCTTTGTTGAGGGGACTACTCGGTGTGGGTGAGGCAGCTGGTCGTGGTTCCCTACAAACTCTTGGAGCAAGGGCTCAGGGCTGTGACCATTCAGGTCTGACCTAACAAGGACAGAACTTGGGAAACGGCAAAGATCCTGCTTGAGACAGAGAAGGCCAGGCCTCAGCTGCCCAGAGAGAGACAGGTAGCCCCTGCATGCCCGATAATCACATGAGTGAGGGCCAGCTGCTTGGGGGACATGCTGAGGGGTCCCCAGACTGTCCTTACAGCTCAGGGCTCTAGTCAGCATGGGGAGAAAGGGCAGAGCCCCTGGGGCAGCAGGAGCCAGAGCACCTGTGCTGTTCAATGACTGGATGAGGGTTTGTTTCCAGAGAACAAATGTGAGGCGGAAGCTGGAAGCCTCCTCAGACCTTGCCTGGTCCCCTCCCCATATTAAGAGAACTCAGGGAGGGGAGTTACTGCAGGAGGAGCTTCTGTGTGGAGGGACTGGGGAGGGAGGTGTCTCCTTCCCACCCAGGCCCAGGGGACGAGCGTGCACCAGGTCACAGGACAGCTTGCCTGGGGCCTGCCCACCTCACCCGGGACCTGCCTCCCCCAGGACCAGGCCCATCAGCCAAACTGGCCTAATCAGAGGCCACATGGAAACCTGCCCACCCACTCTACCTTGCCAGACTGTCCTCATGGCAATAGAGCAGGTGTGACCTTGGGGGTAGGGGGAGTGTGACTGTGGGACTGAGAGGACCCCTCTGCACCCACTCCCCAGGCCCAGTGGTGTGCTCTTGGGTGGGCTCTGTAGTGCCTGCTTGCAGCAGTTGCGACTGAGACTGCTCTTGCCTCCCTGGAGCCCTGGCATTGTGGGTGTGCACCCTCCTCTCACCTTGAGGTTACACGAAGTCACCCTTCATGGGCTGTGAGAAGACTCAGTTTGGAGGACCACAGTGGCCTCTCCATCTCTGATTCTGCCTTTATGCAGACCAGCTGGGCCTCCAGTTATATCCAGGAGGCCTGCCTGGCAGCTGGTGGATGCCATGGGAAGTAGGAGATCAGGGAACACATCCCTGGGACAGGCAGGGGGGCTGTAGTCATCTGGCCATGGGGCCAGCATCTGTCCCCACCATCAGTCACACGTATGCACAGTGAGGGGGTTCTATCCAATGGAGAGAGGGGCTGTGACCAGCCCTGGGAGCAATGGCAAGGGGCTGTGCTGCCTGCCTGGCCCCTGATGGAGCCCAATCTCTGGGCCACCCCCTCTGGTGGCCCTGGGCATTAGATGGCTCTGTGATCTCTGCCCCAAGTCATCTTATAAATGCTACAACACTCAGCCACCAGTGTTTGTTGGCCTTCCTGTGTCCCAAGTGGACTACCACATGCAGCCCCTCCCTGAGAGTCCTCACCCACCCCAGCCCCTCTTATTCTCTAGTGCTGCTCTACCAGAAATACCACAAGGGGGTGGCTTTAACAAACAGAAGTCTATTTTCTCACGGCTCAGGAGGCTAGAAAGCTGAGTTCAGGTGCTGGTTCTAGGGGAAGGCTTTCTTCCCCTGTCAGCTCTGGGGGAGGTACTCGTCCCTTCTGAGCTGTGCTCCTGGGCTGTCTTCATGTGGCATGGTGTCTCTCTCCTCCAGTCTCTGCTCCTGTCTCCTGCTTGCTTAATCTCTTTTATATCTCAGAAGAGATTGACTTAGGGCACACCCTACTTTAATCCCGCCTCATTAACATAACAAAGACAACAGATCCAAAATGGGATTATAACCATAGGTAGAGGGTTACAACACATTTTTTGGGGGAGCACAATCCAATCCATAATAAACCCCCCACCCCCAGCCTGAACTGGCAACTCCTTGCCTGGCCTACTTTTCCTGGTCAATCCCAGGCACCCTTGTGTCCCCTTACCCCTCACCCTGAGAACACCACCCTAAGCCCTCTGTGTCACCCTGAAAAAAACAAAAAACCCACACTCACTGCCATGGAGTTGATTTTGACTCATAGCAACCCACTTTGAGTTTCTGAGGTGGTAAATCTTTACGGAAGTAGAGTCTTCCTTCTGTGGAGTAGCTGGTGGCCCCTTGCAAAGCCCCCACAGCCTGCAGAGTCCATGGGCCATTCGCAGAGGGCAGGGTCTGGTACAGAGGCCTGGGGCCCAGCGAGCCCTCCACAGGCTTCCTGGCCCCCTCTCTTAGCAGCTCACCTGCCTCCTCCTTGTGCAAATTAAGCCCTGGGCGTGGGCAGGATGCCTTCCCTTCCTGCTCTCACCCTCACTGCGCCTGTGTCTGGGCCATCTCTTCCTGCCGCCAGCAGGGCCAGCCCGGTCCAGGCCTGGGAGAGCTTGCTCTCTCTCGGCTTCTTTTCTGGGTCTTCATCCCCTCCCTTCCCGTGGAAACTGCCCGCTTCCGATTTTACACATGAGGATGAGTGAAGCCCTGGCCCTCAGCTTTGTGGCCAAGCCTCTCCTCTCCTGCATGGAGCCACCCCGTTCATGCCCCTGGAAGGTCCCCGTCAAGAGGCAGGAAGTGGATCCGGCCCTTTAGATGGGCACTTGGAGGGCTTGGTCTATGTCTGCAGGAGGAGGGACCCTCCTATGTCTGCAGAGTGGCCTCTAGCCCAACAGTCCCCTCTAACACAGCCCCAGGGAAGATGCTGGCCACCATGCTTTAGTGAAGAAGTGTGAAGAAATGTGCTTTGTAGATGCAGAGTTTCTTTCTTTCTTTCTTTTTTTTAACAAATTAAAGGTTGGTGGCAAATTTGTGTGGAACAGGTCTA